ATAAAGATGTTGCACTACAGTACTTGTATTAGGTGAACTGAAAAAATACTATTTCTTTTGTTTTTTTACAGTGCAAATATTTGTACTGTAAAAAAACAAAAGAAATAGTATTTTTCAAATATTTGTAATCAAAAGTAAATATAAAGTGAGCACTGTACACTTTGTATTCTGTGTTGTAATAGAAATCAATATAGTTGAAAATGTAGAAAACATCCAAAAGTATTTAAATAAATGGTATTCTGTTATTGTTTAACAGCACGATTAATCGTGGTTAATTTTTTTTAATTGCTAGACAGCCCTAATATATATATATCATAATAAAGTGAAGCGTTTATATTTGTCCTCATGGATTTTTGAGGGATTATTTTATTCATAGTCTAACAGAAGCCTGATGATTTAAAAAAAAAATCCTAGTTATTTTCATATCTGAGTTTCTCCATGTATCTCAGACCCTTCTAAGTCAATTAATATTGGGGGGCTCTTTTCTTTTTTTCCAGTATTCAGTTAAAGATAATCTTTCCCCAACCAGAAGATAAGAAATTAGTCTGGAATAGTTTTTCAGTAGGTGGGCTCTTTTCCTACTGGAGTTTGAAAGAGAACTCGGTGGACAGTCTAGATCAAGTGGTTTCAGAAGTTTAATCTAAGGCTAGGTCTACACTACCCGCCTGAATCGGCGGGTAGAAATCGACCTCTCGGGGATCGATTTATCGCGTCCCGACGGGACGCGACAATCGATCCCCGAATCGACGCTCTTACTTCACCAGCGGAGGTGGGAGTAAGTGTCGTCGACAGGAAGCCGCAGAGGTCGATTTTGCCGCCGTCCCTACAGCGAGGTAAGTCGGCTGCGATACGTCCAATTCAGCTACGCTATTCATGTAGCTGAATTTGCGTATCTTAAATCGACGCCCCCCCCCCGTAGTGTAGATGTAGCCTAAGGGTACGTCTATACTTACCTCCGGGTTCAGCGGTAAGCAATCAATCTTCTGGGATCGATTTATCGCGTCTTCTCTAGACGTGATAAATCGATCCCGGAAGTGCTCGCCGTCGATGCCGGTACTCCTGCTCCGTGAGAGGAGTACGCGGAGTCGATGGGGGAGCCTGCCTGCGGTAAGTACCTTGTAGTTCGAACTAAGGTACTTCGACTTCGTTATTCACTTGGCGAAGTTGCGTATCTTAGTTCGAACTGGGGGGTTAGTGTGGACCAGCCCTAAGATACAGAACGAGAAATTGGCCATCTTCGAATCGTCCCACCAGCTATGGAGAAAGTTATATTTCCTCATGCAGTTTCTAACAGGCATCATAGGTACTTTAAATACATGTTTTTTTATTTGAGAGGAAGAAAGATACCACTGAAACATCCTTTTTTTTAATGTCAACACATACTCAGTGTAGATGAGGTAACTGCAAGCATATTTTTTCATCAATTTTGTATTACTATAGAGGGAAACTCTTATAGTACTTTTATGGGAATTTTGGGTGAAAGAAAAAACAGACCGTGGGTGACAGGATTGCTAGGTATCTAGCTGTAAGCATTTTGATTGCTGTGATCCCACAAATACTGGAGAGAAAGTTACAATTGATGAGATACTTTTAAACTGTATTACAAGGGGTAGAAAAAATGATATCAAATAGATCATTGCCAGGTACATAAGCTCTATATTTATGTTTTACTTTGCCCATTTAAATTTAAACTTAAGAATCTTTGAGTTCACTGGTCAAAGCCTAGTTCCATCACTTTGGAGCCTTAATTTATCTTGAACTGGAGACCACCTTAAAACTCCACAATTTCTGCTTAACAAAAGCTGAGGTTTCAGATGTCTCCAATAAAACATTATTAGCATATAAAGCTAATTTATTCTCAGAGCCTCTAGTTTATGTGCCAGGAATGCCACTCTTGTTCTTAGTTATCCATGCAAAGAGTTCTGTCAATACAGCAAAAAGAAGTGACAGAGGGTACTCTTGCCCAGTTCCACTGTGCAAAACAATTAATTTGTTTTAGTGCCCAAACCATAACCTTGGCTATGGAGTGTTGTTTAATAACTTAGTCTGGTACATTATATCCCCCAGATTTATGCTTTGAATTTCCCCCTTTAAATAATTCAACAACTTGATTAAAGACTTTTCTTCATATTAGGGACCTTCAACTGACCTCAATGGATCATTCCGGCCGACCTCTTACATTGTGTGCCAGTTGATGCCTTGAAAAGAACAGGTCTGATCTCTTTTCACCAATCTAGGTAAGATAGGTTCTATCCTCGTAGCTGGAACTTTGGCAAAAATCTTAACATCCGAGTTAAAGAATTAAATGAGTTGCAACATGAAATGTTGTGGAAATTACAGGCTTGCTGTAGCCTGTTCTGTGAGCCACAGTAGGCTCATAGCACTGCCCAGGGAGACTGCTGTAATTTACAGGCCCTCAGGGTTATTAAAGTTACACCGTGGGCCTCTCCAGCCCTCAACATAGCCCAGGATCGTGAGGACACAAAGGTGGTTTGAAGTCATCTTCGCTCCTCTACCGTTGGGCTGTGAGTTCTGAGCTGCTCCTCTTAGAGAGACAGCACAGGATCTCACCCTATGCCTTTTTGAAAAGTAACACTTAAATGGATTGCCTCTAATAAAAAGTTCCATTATTATATTTTTAGAAAGCATTTGTGAGAATTTTCAGTTTTTTATCTCTGCCTTAATCTGTTCCTTTGGATCCCTTTTTTTCTAGAGGCAGTACTAACTAATGAGTTTCCCTCTTGGAAACACTCCCATGAGCGTCCCAACGAATATCCCTGGAGGCCATAAGTGCTGGAAATGGGGGTGCTGCTGCACCCTCTGACTTGAAGTGGTTTCCATTATATACAGGGTTTATAGTTTGGTTCAATAGCTCTCAGCACCCCCACTATAAAAATTGTTCCAGCACCCCTGTTGGAAGCTTCTAAATTTTTTAATTTGAAATATATTTTAGGTTCTTTTCTAAAATCACTATCTTCGACCAGTAGGAAATCAAGTATATCTACTTTTTGCTGCTCAGTTTTTCTGACCTGTCTGAAGTTGGATTAAGTACAGACGCTCCCCAACGTACACAAGCGTTCCGTTCCGGAACACCTTGCGTAACTCGAATTTTTGCATAAGTTGGGAATGTATACCCAACCATTACGCAAAAAAAACAACAACAAAAAAGCTTTCTAGCTTACGGAACTTATGGAACTTTTTCCGTAAGTGCAGATTTGTGTAAATCGGGTTTGCGTAACCTGGAGAGCATCTGTATTGCTTTTTAGTTGCATTCCAGTGTGTTTTTACTTGTGAACTGAACAAATTTGAAAAGCCATTAAAAGTCAGTAGAGATGGAACCTATTATAATGCCTTTTGTGCTCAGGTTTCAGACTACAGCTGCATTTCAGTTTTGATCTGCTTAACTTAGTGGGTTTCCACTGTGTGTAGAATTGATACTGCATTAGTTTCCTATATATATAGCATTTCCTATACCCTTTACTTGATCATAAGATGGACTAATCAGATGGAGTATTAAATCATTTTCTCAAATATGGTGTTAGAGCTTTTGGAACTTTAGATGTTAAAGCTGTAGTTACTATACATATTGAGGTTTAATGTTACAGTATATGTTAATTTTATGAGTAAGCAAAAACATTATTTTAGGGCATTGTAATGTGGAACTCTGTACTCTTTAAAAGCAGTGTCTGAGCTATAAATACAGACAATGGTCTTACATTTAAGGAAAAGTTGATTAAAACAAAGGTGATATTATTTATTTAAAGGGTGAATTTTGTTTAAGCCAAAATTAGATACTATTGGAAATCTTCTAGAGATCCTTTTATTATTATTATTATTTCTAGCAATTTTTTTCTTTATATGAAGTTTGTAGCAGCTTACTGTTTTAGCAAAGTGGTGACGAAGGGCGCCCTCCAGATGGCCTGGGACACTACTGACTTGGCCACCAGGATGGTTGTCTCGGTGGAGAGGCGCAGCTCTTGGCTACAGTCTTCGGGGTTATCCCAAGAGATGCAGGCCATGATCCAGGACCTCCCGTTTGAGGGCGTGGGGCTCTTCTCTGAGCTCACTGACGCAAGGCTGCATGGCCTTAAAGATTCCTGGGCCATCCTGCGGTCGCTGGGCTTCCACACTACACAGCAGGCCAGAAAGCAGTTCTGGCCTCCTCCATCTAGGTTCTAGGGATCTTCCCAGCAGGAGTCCTACAGGAGAAAGGACAAAGACAAAGGGTTTAAGCACCGCCACCCTTCATCCTCTCGCTCGCCGGCTCAACCTGGCCCTTTGAAACACCGTGGGGGCCAGAGACAGGTGTTTTGAAGGTGCGACCGGGGACAGTGCCCCAGTCAAGTACCTGGATCCACCCTCCTGTTCTTTCCTCAACCACCTACAAGCCTTCTAGTTGGCATGGTTGCAAGTGACATCAGACCGTTGGGTGCTCAACACAATGTCCTTGGGCTACACCCTACAGTTCTTGACTGCTCCTCCCTTCCACCCCCCGCCCCCCTCCCTCTTCAGGGACCCTTCTCACAAGCAATTCGCTCAGGAGGTGGGAAACCTCCTAAGGCTGTGAGTGGTGGAGGAGATTCCCTCGGGATATGAAAAGAAAAGGATTCTACTCCTGATGTTTCCTAATCACAAAAGCAAAACAGGGCCTAAGACCCATCCTGGACCTGTGTTGCCTCAACAAGCATTTCAAGAACTTGAAGTTTCGAATGATCTCCCTGGCCTCCATCATCCCCTCCCTGGATCCGGGAGACTAGTATGTCGCCCTCGACTTGAAGGATGCATTTTTCCATTTTCCCAGGACACAGCTGGTTCCTGTTTTGTGTTCAGCCAGCACCATTTCCAATTCATGGCACTGCCCTTTGGTCTCTCGTCAGCCCCGAGTGTGTTCACAAAGTGCATGGCACCAGTGGGCGCTTACTTGAGGTGTCGGGGCGTTCAAATTTACCTGTACCACGATAACTGACTGATCAAGGGCCGGTCTTGGCATCAGGTGTGGCAGCACCTTGGGCTGGTTTGCTCCACATGTCGCGATCTAGGTCTGTTGATAAACGAGAAAAAATCTCAGGCCCCTACAGGCATGGCTGGCGTCGGTCTATGTCCCCAACAGACACAACATAGACCAGGTATTCAAGATTCTGGACCACATACTGTTGTCGCTTGCTTGGTGGTTGGATCCCGCATCGGTGTTGGCAGGAGTCCCCTTTGTGGCCCCATCCCCGTCAGTCTCCCTGGTTTCCGATGCTTTGGATCTGGGATGGGGAGCCCATCTGGGCGACCTCGGCATGCAAGGTTGTTGGTCGAGTAGTGATTGCTTCTTACATGGAAATGTCAAGGAGCTTAGAGCGCTAAGCCTGGCCAGTCAAGCTTTCCTGCCTCAAATAAAAGGGTGGTTCAAGTCCTGAGGGCCAATACCGCCGCTATGCTCTATACCAGGATGGCCAACCTGAGCCTGAGGAGCCAGAATTTACCAATGTACATTGCCAAAGAGCCGCAGTAATACATCAGCAGCCCCCCCTCAGCTCCCCACTCCCCCCCTGCTCCCAGTGCTTCCCACCCACCAGCAGCCTTCCCCACATCTCCTGATCAGCTGTTTTGTGGCGTGTAGGAGGCTCAGGGGGGAGGGGGAGGAGCAAGGACATGGCAGGCTCAGGGGAGGGGGTGGGAAGGGGTGGAGTGGGGGTGGAGGACCAACAAGCAAGGTGGAGCCTGGTCCTCAGCCCTTTGCCAAGAAGCCATCAGGCTCTGGAATTTTCTATGTTCAGCATGCCATTCATCTCGTGGCGGCTGACCTCCCCGGGGCCAGGAACTCTCTGGCAGATCACCTCAGCAGGACCGTCTTGTCTCGTGCTAACTTGAGGTCGTTAGCATCATTTTCCAAAGGTGGGAGATTCCCCAGGTGGACTTGTTTGCATCCAGGCACAACAGAAAGTGCCATGCTATTAATTCACAGAGTCCTTGTGATGATCAAGCAGGACAGAGCGAAAGTAATCCTCATAGTGCCAGTTTGGCTGCGCCAGCACTGGTTTGGCACATTGCTGGAGCTCTCGGTGGCTGCCCCATTACAGCTACCGCTCTGGCCGGACCTGTAGTCTCAGAACAATGGCAGACTGTTGCATCCGAACCTGACAGCGCTGCTTCTGACGGCCTGGCTGCCGCATGGTTGAATGCGGATGAGCGGCTGTGCTCAGACGGTGTCCAGGTCTTGTGGGGCAACAGAAAACCCTCTACCAGAGCAACCTACCTGGCCAAATGGAAACAGTTTACATGCTGGACTTCAGATAAAGGCATTGGATCCTAGAGGCCCTCACTTCATTTAATCCTGGATTACCTCCTGCATCTTAAACTCCAGGGTCTGTCTCTTTCATCTGTTAAGGTCCACGTTGGCCTCTATTTCAGCCTTTCATCCTCAGCTTGAGAACAGGTTGGTTTTCACCCACAACATGACTGCCAGGTTCCTCAAGGGCCTAGAGTGCCTATACCCTCATGTCAGGGACCCCGTTCCTCCATGGGACCTAAATCTCGTGCTGTCACAACTCACGGGAGCACCCTTTGAGCCTCTGGCTTCCTGCTCCCTCCTCCTCCTCTCCTGGAAGGTCGCTTTCTTGGAGACAATAACATCTGCCCACAGGGTCTTCGAGATTAAGGCATTTACTTTGGAGTCGTCCTAGACAGTGTTTTACAAGGACAAGGTCCAACTGCGACCACATCCAGCCTTTCTATCCAAGGTTATTTCGCATTTTCATATGACTTAGGACATATTCTTACCTGTCTTCTTTCCTCAACCTCATAAGTCGGAGGAGGAGCCTAGGTTGCACTCTCTGGATGTCAGAAGGGCGCTAGCCTTCTATATTGAGAGGACCAAGCCTTTTCGTAAGTCGCCGCAGTTATTTGTTGCAGTGGCCGATAGGATGAAAGATCATCCAGAGCTGGCCCAGAGGATCTCGTCTTGGATTACTGCCTGTATCCGCTACTGGTACAACCAGGCCAAGATACCCCCTCCGGCGATTGTAACCGCCCATTCAAGGTACAAGCCTCTTCGGCAGCTTTCCTAGCCTAAGTGCTGATCCAGGATATCTACAAGGCTGCCACCTAGTCGTCCGTCCAGACATTTACATCGCATTATGCACTTATCCAGCAGGCTTGAGACGATGCTGGCTTTGGTAGTACAGTATTGCAAGCTGTATGTCTGTGAACTCCTTCACACAACTCACAGTCAACCTGTGTAACTCGTTGT